CGACTTCTTGTTGAAAACCGCAAGTCCAATTGCTTTGATATTACATATATGGGTACTACATGTGGACCTCTCTCAGATTTGTTCATTTTGTAATGATATCTTTAATTCTCTAATTTTGGTGAATATTTTTGTCATTTTTGGTAAAAAGTGATATTTTCGACTTCTTGTTGAAAACCGCAAGTCCAATTGCTTTGATATTACATACATGTATATAGGTACTATATAAACAAACAAATGAATAGGATTAGGAACAATGTACCAGCTGGTTGAAACAAAGTCGGTCACGGTCTTGTTGAATTGGGAGTGTGGTTAGTAATAGATACTTTTCATGTTTTCAATTTTTTTTGAGAACTCTTTAATACTGAAGCCGAAATCGAGGGTGCGGTTACTATTAGGTATGCGGTTTATAATAGGATTTTAACGGTAGTCAACATTTGAACATATCATCAACCGTTTCTCAGCCATGCCTGAGTTAGTATCATTTGATATGCTATAAGTAGATATCCTGGCTTTACTTTCCTAGTCAACTAACTAAGTTTCTGAAGGTGAATTTAAGAGGATCACCTAAATTCATATTCTACAGTTAATTTCTCTATCACCCATTCACAATTTTTGATGTTGTATAAATTGGTCATTGAATGGTGCCTCATAAATTTGCAAAAAGGGAATGCTGCAACTTTAAGTATATACTGACCATGAAATATTCATGCTGTTACAGGAGTATGGTTTAGTGTTGGTTGGAGGAGAAACTACAGAGGAAGACGTTGATGTCTTAGATGGAGAAGACCCAGTATTAAGCCCTGCTGCACTGGTCACGCCTGATGGGGCCCAGTTATTAGAAAAATTAGGAGATGGCAGTATAGATTTTAAACTTAAAAAACTTGTTGAAGAAAAAGAGGAAATTTTAGAGCAGGTAATTATCTTGGATTTGTCTCGTATCAATCTGTGATTATTATGCAACTGTGACAGTCTCGTAAAATTATACTTAAAGGATGTTTATTACTGTCGAATACTTTATTTTCGCTTGGAATTTATTTTCGCTATTTTCACTGAAGGAATGATTTTGTGAAAATAAAATCCAGCGAATATACTTTCTTTCCTATATTTCACATTAAGCTCATCAAAAATCAGTGAAAATAAATAGCATACAAAATGCCCAAAAAGCCTTTTCAGCGAAAATAAAGTATTCCACAGTACTTATTTCTGTGTTTCAGTCTCCTGTATTGCAGTGGTTTTTACGTACTGGTGATTAGGAAACCTTGCCAATTTGCAAAATTTAATACGTGCTCTCCTTGCTCAATTAAATGATTAAATTTGAAAATAAAGGTCAATGCATACTACATGCAACTTTGTGTGAACAATGTCATTTTACTGTCATTGTGGATTATTATTGTGGTGACAGTAAAAGTGCTATATACGGTACATCATTTATGGGACCAATATCAACGACCACTTCTCCTTCAGGGGAATGGCAAGAATGTATGTCTTTGGGGATGAGGCTTGAATGCTCCATTGAAATAGGACCAAATCAACAAATTTTGTCAGAAGTTTTGACTCCCGTGTACGAAGCACAATAGGGAGTCTTTGCAGTTACCCTGTCTGTATGTCTGTATGTCTGTATGTATGTATGTATGTATGTCACTTTTTTTGTTCCACCGTTATCTCAAGAACCACTAATCAAATTTTCGTGAAACTTGGTACATAGATGCTCTGGGATGATGCGCAGAGTTGATTAGGTTTTCGTAAAAATCTATGAATATTAATTACCTAATTTGCATGGTAATTAGCTGATTTTTAGCTGTTCCAAGACTGTTCCACTGATATCTGAAGAACCACTCATTGGATTTTGATGAAACTTGGCACATGGATGCTCTGAACTAGTTCGCAGATTTGATTAGTTTTGGGTAAAAATCTATGAATATTAATTACCTAATTTCAAGCTGTTCCATGACTGTTCCACTGATATTTGAAGAACCACTCATTGGATTTTGATGAAACTTGGCACATGGATGCTCTGAACCAATACGCCGATTTGACTAGTTTTGGGTAAAAATCTATAAATATTAATTACCTAATTTGCATGATAATTAACTGATTTTAAGCTGTTCTTATGACTGTTTCACTGATTTTTTAAGAACAACTCATTGGATTTCAATGAAACTTGGCACATGGATGCTCTGAACTAATGCGCAGATTTGATTATTTTTGGGTAAAAATCTGTTAATATTATTAATTACCTAATTTACATAATGATTAATCAATTTTCGGCTTTTCCACTGATATCTCAAGTACTAATCATAACATGTCAATAAAACTTGGGACATAGATGTCATATGACACTGCACAGACCTGATAGTTT